TCTCTTGAAAATTGTGGAAATTTCTAGAAGTACAAGTAGTCATCCTTATCAAATTTCGATCGGTTCTCATTCCCATCATCTTTCTCTTTATCATTCTTTTGCGAACCATAGTAGAGTTTGGAATAAGCTCCCGTCTGGTATCTTCTCGTCTATAGGAAAATTGAAAGTACAGTACTGGACAATGAAATATCATATTTGAAAAACGATCGTCACTTTCGCGTGTCTGTAACTCCCTTGTCTTTGAGTTTAAACTATGGTAATACTTTTAGTGTTATACATTTTCTGAAAGCTCTTTTCAAGGACTACACAATGGTAATATTAATATTTGGAAATACGGTAAAGACAAGGGAGTTACAGACGCGCGAAAGTGACGATCGTTTTTCAAATATGATATTTCATTGTCCAGTACTGTACCAAAAGATTCACCATTATTTTTGAACCATTAACATTACCATTAACATTACCATTAACATTACCATTAGTATTACCATTAGTATTACCATTAACATTACCATTAACATTACCATTAACATTACCATTAACATTACCATTACCATTACTTTTATAAACAAGAACCATTACTCTTATCCTTCATCTAAGTTTATCTGCTATTTCCTTATGCTTTTTCTTGTAAATCTATTTTTCTTCTCAATTTACTTGTCAATGAAAGCTTTTATTCGATTGGCAAACTATTGGGTTGTCCAGTTATGAATGCGCGTTTTTACTATTTTGTAAATTTCTCAAGATATCGGACAGATGTATATGAGTGTCATATATCATTCGAAAGCTGAAGATCTCCTCTACATTTTGATATAAAGAGTTTCTGAATTCATTCAACTTTTTGGGAAATTGACTGCACAAAGGGAGAGGTCGTTGCCGAAAAAACCCATCTCAGCTTAGCTATTCCTCAAGTTTTATAGTGTAAAATAACCGCTCAGAAAAGAAAAGTAAAGATGCTCTGAAATTGTTATATTTAAAAAAAATTGTATTGATATATCTATTAGCCAAACATCAAACGGTTAACTCGATTTGAGCGGAGCTAAAACTTGATCCAAAAGCACCATTCCATTTTTGGGCCACCTCTTCTTCTGTGCAGTCAATTTACCCAAAAGCTGAACAAATTCAAAAACTTTTTATATCAAAATGTAGAGGAGATCTTCAGCTTTCGAATAAGACTCATATATATCTTTTTCTTGATTTCGGTATCTTGAGAAATTTACAAAATAGTAAAAAACGCACATTCATGACTGGACAACCCAATAGTATCAGCTTCTTCTGGAGTCATCCTTGCTTCACTAACACTATCTTCTTCAAAATTCATTCTCAATTCCTTTCTTCTTCTATATTCAAATTTGATTTCTCGATCGATTTGTTGATTTGATCCCGAGACGAAGTGCAAAACGAATCGTTCATCAGGGGAAACGACAATGTTTTGATGTGTTGCAGAGGCTGATTTAAAGCTAAAATTCTTGAACTATCAGATTTTCCAAATAAAGCTAAACATTTCCATGATTCCATTCTCTGTTCTCACATAGAAACGATCAGTTGGATCAAATAAACCATCGAATGAAATCACCAAATCGTATTGTTTCTTATCAATGGTGATTTCATTCGGTTTAGACTAATTTAGACGGTTTAGACGGTTTAGACATTAAACCCGAGTTCCAATTGATAGATCAAACAAAATGAATAACACCAATCGAATCTTTGACCCAAATTTAGCGATATTTTTTCGGCAAATTCCTTACATCTCGTTCAGGATGTTAACTCCGCCCCTTTCTCAATCCGTTTGCCGTTGACAATCTACAGTACTGGACAATGAAATATCATATTTGAAAAAAGATCGTGACTTTCGCGTGTCTGTAACTCCCTTGTCTTTGAGTTTAAACTATGGTAATACTTTTAGTGTTATACATTTTCTGAAAGCTCTTTTCAAGGACTACACAATGGTAATATTAATATTTGGAAATACGGTAAAGACAAGGGAGTTACAGACGCGCGAAAGTGACGATCGTTTTTCAAATATGATATTTCATTGTCCAGTACTGTACTTTCAATTTCCCTATAGACGAGAAGATACCAGACGGGAGCTTATTCCAAACTCTACTACGGTTCGCAAAAGAATGATAAAGAGAAACATGATGGGAATGAGAACCGATCGAAATTTGATAAGGATGACTACTTGTACTTCTAGAAATTTCCACAATTTTCAAGAGACTTTGAAATTCTCGATGCGACTTCAGGTGGAAAAGAATTTTATAGCAAAAACTACGCAAGAGCTCAGCCAACCAATAAACTGAATTATATAAATATTTCTTTTAATTAAATTAATTAAGTAATTAAGTAATTTCTTTTAATTTGTTGGTAAGTTTTAGAAATGATTTTAAATGTTTTTAAATAAGTTTAAAAACTGACCTCTAGTCATTGTTGAATCGAAGGCGGCACGAGTTGGTCATTTCCCGGCAAAACCGCAGCCATTTCTCTCATTTCTTCCCGTTCACAAGTAAAAGAGCCCTGAGAGTTCCACGTTCTCCATTTCTCTCAAATTTCCCCTTTCCATCGCCGTCTTTGATTACTATCTCTTTTACCCGATTTTCTCTAACCGGGTTTTCCCTTTTCCAGGCGCCAATTTGTGCTCTTGTAGTTTATTGATTTATTATTTTTCTTGACGTAATCTTGGGCTTTTCTTGGAGCTGTTTTCGAAATTTCATCACACGGAAATCACAAGAAAAAGTCAAAAAATCAGAGATTTTGTCTGAAAAGGGATAATGGTTAAAAGGTCGCATTCGTTTCCTTTTTGATTTGATCAAGTTTACACTCACATGAACATGCCTCGCCAACCATTGACTCTGCCCACTCATTTCCATTCACCGCACCTGGAAAAGTTCGTTGGAGCAGTTGAAAAGGCAATTCGCTTTTACTATTCATCTTAAAAAGGGATCCAAAAACTCAGAAATCTCTTATAAACAAAGTTAATTATATTCTCGTTGTTCTGCTTTAAAATGAAAGGATACGCATCCGTTTCCTTTCTTTTTGCGTTCCTATTTTGCAATTATTCGCGTCGCATTTTTTTTCGCCTTTTTCTCTCTTCCCGAAATTATTCTTTTTGGCAGAGCTTCTGGCCCTTTTCGGGTTTGGGATTTTTGCCTTCGTTCTGAGGACTTTAATGTTTCTGCCTTCGTTCTGAGGAATTTAATGTTTCTGCCTTCGTGCTTGGGGGACTTTGATGTTCCTGCCTTCGTTTTTGGGGACTTTGATGTTCCTGCCTTCGTTTTTGGGGACTTTGATGTTCCTGCCTTCGTTTTTGGGGACTTTGATGTTTCTGCCTTTGTTCTTGGGGGACTTTGATGTTTCTATTCATGCGCATGATGTTTTTGTAATGGGTATCATTGCATTTTTGGTTCTGTACTAATAAAAAGTAGAATTATAAATTCAATTTACTTTATGCTACCCTTCAGATTTTAAATCCTGTTTAGATAGCTGGTTTAACACCGTAGAAAGAACTTGCAAACATTTGTGTCGCCATCGACGAAGTATCAATCCGTTCTGTACTCTTATCACGAGTATTAACCTTATTGGATGCTGCTTGTTATGTCGTAAGCGTTTTGAAGAAACCCTTTTAACCTTTTTGGGCTACTCGGCTATTCTGAAGCAAAGTTTTTCTGCAAAATTCTGAAGCGATGATAAGGTTAAAACGGGTCACACCCCAAACTAAAAATAATCCTTTTCGAATGTTTTAATGATGCTTTTCAAGTTTCAAAACTTTAAAAAGACTTCTTCTTTGAGATTTCAAGTTTCAAGTTACTTTGAATTAGGTGTTTTTTATATGTTTGCATCTCTGCATTAGAATCTCTGCATTCAATTCTTAAAGATGAGCAAAACTTAGGACTAGACTCAAATAATGTATCTTGATCTTGATTTTGGCTAACTGTCATGATAGTTGGCGAATTAATCCAGAATTCATCTTGCAAACAACTACTTTAAGCACAAACTTTTTCTGTTAATTCTTTTTAATGGACTTATCCGTCGGTTATTGGACCCGGATCATGCGGGCCGTAGACAAGCGCGCTCCCGACTGCGCCACGGTGACAAGACAAGACAAGGCGGCAAATCAGCCTTAAAACACCGTTAGGCGGGTTTCTCTATGTTTGAATGCTTGATGTTTGATGCTTTGATGCTGAATGTTTGATTCAGATGTTTGATGGTTTTTGTTTGACTTTTTGGCTGCTCAGTAAGGATAAATCCACTCATTGTAGTCCGAATTGATCGAAGTACAAAAATTCTCCAATATTTTGTCGAAGCCAGGAAAATTTTGTGATATCACCTTTCACCTCTCTTTTTGGGGAGTCTTCTTCGAGAAGAACTGATAATAGGCGAGTCGCGAGAGTTCTTTAACTCCTCTTTTCCACCAAACGCTTTCTCAAACCCATTTAGTCCCATTGACTTCGAAATTTTGATGACTTTTAACCTCTCCCCATAGTGATTTACACCATTGGTTTTTGCTTTTTTTGAATTTTAAATAAAAACTTAAATAAGCGAGTAGAAAACTGTCAAATTAGACTTGTTTAGATCATAGATTGTTTAGATCCTTTTTGTAGATCAACTATTTATCGAAATTTGTTTACCGTATTTACTCGAATGACCGGCCTCGATTATGACCGGACCGGCCATTCACTTAGCCCACAAAAATGACCGGAATAGAAGATTGGCCTTCGAAATTAGACTTGTTTAGATCCTTTTTGTATCAACTATCAACTATTTATCGAAATTTGTTTACCGTATTTACTCGAATAGAAGACCGGCCTCGATTATAAGAAGATATAGAAGATCTCAAATAGAAGATCGGTCTTCTATTCAAGTAAATACGGTATCTTCTATTTGAGACGATTTTATAATCGAAGCCGGTCTTCTATTTGAGTAAATACGGTAGTTCTTGTACTTTTTATCTAAAATTTGATTGGATCTCATCTCATTGAAATTGATCTCATTGAAATTTTAGGATGGAATCTTGTCCATCTGGAAGAGTGTCATTACAAATCACGAAACTTGAAGTCCATTCACTTAGCCCACAAAAATCTCCAGAGACAACAACTCTAGAAGAAAAATGTTGTCGAGTTTGCCAGGCGGCTTCCGATGGAAGTCATTTTGGAGTTGAGGCTTGCAGAGCTTGTGCGGCTTTCTTCAGGTGAGTAAACAAGTTAAAAAATACAGTAGGAATACTGATGACTTTTTCCGCAATCATTTTCATTTTTAAATGTAAATCAAGCTCCAATTTGGTTACTTATCTTTTTGAATTTGGTTCCTAATCTCTCTAAACTTGGTTCCTTATCTCTTCAAATTTGGTTCCTTATCTCTCTAAATGTGGTTCCTTTTCTCTTTAAATTTGGTTCATGATTCCAACAAATTTGGTTCTTGGCCCCTCTAAATTTGGTTCCTAATCTCTCTAAATTTGGTTCCTTATCTTTTTGAATTTGGTTCCTAACCTCTCTAAACTTGGTTTCTTATCTCTTCCATTTGCTTCTTTGCGAATTTGCAATTTAAAAGCCAAATTTGACAAAAAACATATGCTAATCTTGTGGCTGTTAAAAAGTCACATTCAAAGTAAAAAAGCTCTATAGATATCGTACTTAAAAACTAATAAACTATCAAATTCCATAAAAACTATAAAATCTAGCTTTCTTGAGCTGAAAGATATGTTCTTGGAACTCATAAAACCAAAGAAATACTAAAGAACGTTTAGGAGGAGCATCGTTTTGTCAAAAGAATACATTTGCCGCCAACAAGGTGCTCTAGCTTTTAAATTGCAAATGCGCAAATAAGCTTTGCAGCTTGATTTACATTTAAAAATGGAAATGAATACCGAAAAAGTCATCAATCAGTTGGAAGAGCACGATTCTGTTGTCCATTCTGTCGATTCTGTTGACTGTCCAACAATCCACTTGTCTAAATCGATAACAGTTAGACAATTATCAACGAAAATTCATATAGTTAAGCTGATTTCCCGAAAAGTTCTATAAGAAAGGTTTAAAAAATACCAGTAGGGCTCTTTGTCATGCATGGAATCGATTGCAATCCAACATTTTGAATCAACTTTGTGTCGACCGGGATTTCCCACTCCCAGATTTCCCACTCCCAGATTTCCCACTCCCAGATTTCCTACTCCGAGATTTCCCACTCCAAGATTTCCCACTCCCAGATTTCCCACTCCCAGATTTCCCACTCCAAGATTTCCCACTCCCAGATTTCCTACTCCGAGATTTCCCACTCCAAGATTTCCCACTCCCAGATTTCCCACTCCCAGATTTCCCACTCCAAGATTTCCCACTCCCAGATTTCCCCCTCCCAGATTTCCCACTCCCAGACTTCCCACTCCACTCCCAGATACGTAGAGATTTATCATCGGATGTAGAAACAAAACGCCGATTTTTGTCGAAAACCAAAGAAATACTAAAGAACTTTTAGGAGGAGCATCGTTTTGTCAAAAGAATACATTTGCCGCCAACAAGGTGCTATGTGCAAGATTTTTAAAGGTAAAGGAAAAATATTTTTGAGTTTAAGTTCAAAGTTTGTGTTCAAATTTCAGGAACACGAATGTGTCGAAAGTGCCGCTTCGAGAAGTGTGCCCGTTTGGGAATGATTGCTGATCGTTGGTTTTTGTGCATTTTTTCAAATTTTTGACCTCAAACAAGTGTTCTTCAAAGTCAAACGACTTGTTTTGATAAAATGTGTACTATTGAATTGCTTTCAGAAGTGCAAAATCGTCCAGCGGAAAAGGAAGATACCTACATGCACGCATCACCCTCATCATCGGAGGTTAGTACGGTTTACTTGGGCCCGGGTCCATCTAAACAAGTTCTTCACAGTTCAAGCTCAACTTCATTTAAAAAAAGAATCCTATTAAAGCTTACTGGGTGCGGCATACATAATGTTACGCTCTACAAAAGGATTATTTTCTCAAAAGCCAAAAGAATTGATAGTTTTTTCGTTTAGATATTTAAAATCTGAATTTCAACATTTTTTCACAAGATTCACGAGTTTATGGAAAAATTAAAAACCTCATTCGTTTCATATAAGACTTTAAACGTGGAAAAATGAAATTTGTCAAAAATTTGCCTCAAGGTCCACTAAAAAAGTTTGGCTCCTTTTGCTAAATTTAGCACTTGGTGGACCCAGGCCCAGGTATCTATTGGGTTGGTGCATTGAAAACTTAGGCGACGCTCAGTGCACTCTGAGCGTCGCCTAATCCTCGAGAACCACTTATCAGAACCTATCGATGTGGGGTCGGAAAATGTAGCTGACGATGAGATCTCGTGGGGGATTTGAGCGTTGGTCTTCTGCAAAAGCTTGGAAACCGTAAAATCGTCACCAACTCGGCTCGTTGCGGTGCACTACTATTGGGTTGGTGAATTGAAAACTGCGGGACCTTGAACGAAAAGTTATTCAACATACAACCATGAATTCATTCCAAATAATTCCCATTATTATTGACGACTTCTGCCCATTTTACAGGCAATTTGCGGATTCCTCTTTCGTAGTAGGATTTTGGTTTGTGTGTGAGACAAGTGTGAGACTCAAAAATGGAGGACTGGAGATGTCCCAGTTTGAGCACTTTCTTCAAAAGAAACCCATTTTGGTGGAACAGAAAAGTTGTAGAGAATCAAAAATTAGGCTTATAGCCAAATTTCCAAAAAGATACACTTAGTAGTTTCGCCTAAAATGCAAGTTTTGTGAAAATTCGTAAATTTCGCATTTCTTGAAATCCAGTTTTTGAATCGTTCTGAAAATCTGGATATAAGCTTAATTTCTGATTCTCTACAACTTTTCTATTGACATCAAAGTGGGTTTCTTTTGAAGAAAGTGCTCAAACTGTGACAAATGACAATAGCCGGCAGTTTTCAATTCGCCAACCCAATAGTATTCAGTTGGTAACTTAATTAATCGTTAATCCTAAAATTTAAAATCAAACCACGTTTCTCATATCGTAAGTAAAACTATTCGCAAAACATTCTGCACAATTGCAAGGTCAACCAACTGCACACTTTACATCTAAACTCGTTTCTTTTAAGAATCATTTCAAGCACAAAGCTTCAAATCAGTTTAAGCCTTTATTACTTTTCTAAATTCCTTGTCTGGATACAATTGAGCTCGATATTTTAGCACAGCACAGCACAGCAAATATGAAATATAACCAGATTACAGTGATTTTCCTTAGAATTGGTCTTCTACAGATATGCAATGTGAAAATTTAGAGCCCAATCTACGACCCGGTCAAGCTAAGCATCGGACAAATCGCGCCCATGTTGCATGACATGAATGAGAAGTTTAAGTGAGTAAACTTGCCATAAATTGGTTGCCATTTGAAAAGCTTACTTTTGAATGATATTATAATTTCAGGCACTTTTTGGCCGTTCAAAAATCCGTCGAGTTTACGATGGTTGAAGGTGGACAAATGCCGAGAGACGCCTTTGATACGGTCATTCATCGAACGGTTTGAAAGAAATATGCTCTTAATCTCTTTAAGTTTATCACAAAGTTGGGCATTTTTTTCAGGAGAGACCCCTTGCCACTTTCCCAACGATGTGCCGACTGGCGAGAGCGATTTTGCCGTGTTTAATTGAATTTGTACAGTCAGTTCTACCTCCAATCCCTACTTTATCAACGGATGAAATGGTAAGTGTAATGCACACGCTAAAAAGCTACAGTACTCTAACTATTTTCAAATTATTGGGTTGTCCAGTTATGAATGCGCGTTTTTTACTATTTTGTAAATTTCTCAAGATACTCAAGAAAATTTCTTTTTCTCAAGAAAAAGATATATATGAGTATTATTCGAAAGCTGAAGATCTCCTCTACATTTTGATATAAAAAGTTTTTGAATTTGTTCAGCTTTTGGGCAAATTGACTGCACAGAAGAAGAGGTGGCCAAAAAATGGAAAATGAAAAATGGTGCCTTTGGATCAAGTTTTGGCTCCGCTCAAATTGAGTTAACCGTTTGATGTTTGGCCAATAGATATATCAATACAAGTTTTTTTAAATATAACAATTTCAGAGCATCTTTACTTTTCCTGTCTTTTCTGGGCGGTTATTTTACACCATAAAACTTGAGGAATAGCTAAGCTGGAATGGGTTTTGCGCTTATATTGTTGTACCAATGTTGATATTTGTTTTCCAGTTGAGTTTTTGCAAGAAAAAGAGCTTCGAGTTTTGATTCGCTATTGTTGGAAGCGGGAACGGAATTATTTGAAGAAGTTGAAGAAGCTTGCCAAGATTTCTTTGATTCGAAACCGAAGGATTGGCACTTCGACCAGATTCGAAAGCTTGCAGATTGATGGCAGAAAGTCGTAGATAATCATTGGTTATACTTTCTGGAAGAATTGTTGTTATTTTTTTCGAAAACGACCTCTCCCTTTGTGCAGTCAATTTCCCAAAAAGTTGAATGAATTCAAAAACTCTTTATATCAAAGTGTAGAGGAGATCTTCAGCTTTCGAATAATACTCATATATATCTGTTCGATATCTTGAGAAATTTACAAAATAGTAAAAACGCGCATTCATAACTGGACAACCCAATACAATAGCCGATTTTAGCCCGAGACTTTGTAGCTCAATAGAGGAATAATCAAAGAGTTACAGTATCTTTTTTAAGCACTTTTTAGCAAGTGTCTCAGTACAGGTGAATGGAATCTATTAATCAATTAGAACAAGGTCAAACATAATTATAAAATACTCCTTTTTCAGTGGCACATCTATCGAGCCTTTTCTCCGGGTCTCTGGATTTTCGAATCCGCCTATTTCACCTACAAGTTCAACCTTGGTGCCAATTTGTAAGCAAAGAGAAAGAGTTATGAAATTCTTTTGATTAGACTGATGTTCACCCAAACTACTGTAATCGATATGGAAAACACGAGACATTTCTATGAGAACAGCGTTGTTGAACATAATGTGGACACACTGGCAAAGTGAGCTTTCAACGATTTTTGCTCTAGTTGAGATTAAAATATTGGGGTGGTGAATTGAATTGAGCTTAGATTAGCTTAGATTGAGGTAAAGCCGATCATAAGTAGAGTCCTTTTTGGTCAAACAAATTGTTTAAAATGTGCATTTCAGATTTTAATTGATTAATCAGACATTAACCAATGGATTGAATATCAAAAATGAGATCTTAAACGATATTTGATATCTTAAATTTCCCCTTATAAACATCGCAAAGTCTTTTTCCGTCTTTTTCATTCATTTTTTCAAGACAACAATGTTAAAATTGCATAATTCACATACATTATTTGCATTTATTCATTGTTTAATTAATGATCAATGATTCTTTAAACTATTGGCTTGGTGAATTGAAAATTGCGGGACTTTGAACTAAAATTTATTCAACATAAAACCATCAATTCATTCCAAATAATTTCCATTATTATTGACGACTTCTGCCCATTTTACTGGCAATTTGCGGATTCCTCTTTCTTAGTAGGATTTTGGTTTTGAGTCGAGAAACTTTCAAAATCTTGCTTCTTCCCAATCGAAGTGTTCTCCCGCCAGCTCATTACTCATGATCCGGAATAAATAGTAATCAAAAGGGGCGAGGTCCGGACTGTATGGGGAATGCGCCAAAAGTGCCCAAACAAGGCTATTTATTTTAGAGCGAGTCAGTTTTGCAACATGAGAGCGCGCGTTGTCGTGTAGGAGAGCGATCTTTGACTTGTAGGGCCTATTCTTTTTTTCTTTATCTGCGAGTCCCGCGAAATAGATTTCAGATTTATCTTTGAAATTTGATCTATTGGGTTGGTGAATTGAAAACTGCGGGACTTTGAACTAAAATTTATTGAACATAAAACCATCAATTCATTCTAAATAATTTCCATTATTATTGACGACTTCTGTCCATCTTAAAGGCAATTTGCGGATTCCTCTTTCGTAGTGAGATTTTGGTTTGTGTGTGAGACAAGTGTGAGACTCAAAAATGGAGGACTGGAGATGTCCCAGTTTGAGCACTTTCTTCAAAAGAAACCCATTTTGGTGGAACAGAAAAGTTGTAGAGAATCAAAAATTAGGCTTATAGCCAAATTTCCAAAAAGATACACTTAGTAGTTTTGCTTAAAATGCATGTTTTGTGAAAATTCGTAAATTTCGCATTTCTTGAAACCCAGTTTCTTTGAATCGTTCTGAAAATTTGGATATAAGCTTAATTTTTGATTCTCTACAACTTTTCCATTGACATCAAAATGGGTTTCTTTTGAAGAAAGTGCTCAAACTGTGACATATGACAATAGCCGGCAGTTTTCAATTCACCAACCCAATAGCTTCTAGCTTACAGGTTACCAAGAACTTTAGCACTAGTGGACAGCTAAAAGTTTTCAGCATCCTGGAAGTATCTGAAAGTATTTTGTTTTCAGTATGCTGAAAGAATGTATGCATCGAGACATGGACATGGTGCGACAGTTGAGAGAATTGGAGCCAACCGAGATCGAAGTGATCGGATTGTTGGGGATTCTGCTATGGGATCAAAGTTCGTTTAACATGGTATTATAGTTGGGGTTAAACTAGCTTCTAGCTCACAGGTTACCAAGAACTCGAGCACTAGTGAACAGCTAAACGTTTTCAAAAGTAAAAGCGAAAAGTGAAACAAACACTGAACCGTACCAACTGATAAAGAATTTGTGATTGAACATAGGGAAATAACAGAAACGTGCAAGTTGGAAACGCATTGCCATTTAAATCTCTATGTAAACTTTGAAGACAGTCTAGAATCCACAGTCCAGTAAAATAGAACATTTTCCAGATGCAGCCTGCGAAAAAGAGAGCCTTGTCCAACTCGCCTCTGAGCAAAGAGACAAGATATTCCAAGAACTCAACTCGTATTATCGGTAAGTAAAAGTTATTTTTGTTATTGAATGGATTAAATGCTTGATAATTGCTTTATAAGTAGAACAGAATTACGTGGTTCACCCTTTTTGAAAGCTCTTAATATTAGGTGTGTGAAAAAGTAATCCACGTTTTTAACGTTTAAATATAAAAGACCATAAGTTTTGTTAAAATAATTTTTATTCAACGAAGTAATCACCATTCGAAAGAACAACCTTTTCCCAACGTTCTACAAGTAAAGACATTCCACGATAATAAAAATCTTGGTCCTTAGAGGCGAAGAAAAGATCAACCTCGGTTTTGACATCTTCGGATCAACTGGGACACAACAAAATCCCAGTTGAACATCGGAATTGAACCATTTATTGGCCAAAAAGTTAGACAGAGACAAAAATAAATAATAATCAGATGGAGAAAGGTCTGGACTATAAGGTGGATGTGGTAAAACCTCCCATCCAACACTCTGGATTTTTTGTCGAGTCTGTAAAGAGACATGTGGTCGCGCGTTATCATGGAGCAACAGGACACCTTTCCTAGTTACCAATGATGCGCGTCTCTCAGTGAGTTTTTGTTGGACTGCATCAATCTCGGCACAATAGACATTGGAATTAATCGTTTGGCCACGTAGTAAATAGTCTATGTGCATAATACCACGTGCAGTCCACCAAACTGTCATTAAAATTTTTTTAGGATGGATGTTTTTTTTGGGCATTGTCCCAGCAGCTTTACCACGTTCCACCCACTGTCCAGACCTTCTAGAATTATCGTAATCAACCCATTTTTCATCACGCGTAACAATTCGATCAATAAATGGCTCAAGTTGATGTTTACTAATCAAAGAATTGGCGATTGTAAGGCGCATTGTTTTGTTTTCTTCGTTCAATTCATGCGGTATCCATTTGTCCAACTTTTTGATAAAATTCATGGCATTCAAGCGTTTCCTTACGGTTGACCCATCACAATTTAATGTAAGGCCTATTTCTGAAGAGGTTGAACGAGGGTTTTCGAGAAGACAGCGTCTTATTTGGTCATCAGATAAAAATAAAAAACGTGGATTACTTTTTTCACACACCTAATAGAACAGAAAACTCTTTAGATTTGTCCTCAACATTCCCGACTATGCGGTGAGACTGGGGAAATTGATGTGTTTGTACAGTTCGCTGCAGGTTTGTTTAAGAAATCTATGAGAAATAAAAGACCCATTAGGCTGAATGGCTACTATAAACTATGATTTTAACATTTTAACTTTAACCATTCATCAAAACCATTTCTTTTTCAGCACAATGCCGGTCATTTCAAAGAGGAACTCGAGCTGTTCAACATCATGAATCTCTTCCAAGCCGACACTTTTATTTATGATTTTATCAAGCGATAGCTATCATGAAACTTTTGAAATTTGTGATTTTGTACATATCTATTTCATAAATAATAGTAGTACTGAGAAAAAAGACAAAAAAAAGAAAAAAAAAGCAAAATAGGAAGCTGTGAAGTCACAGGAGGTCCGGAAAAGCCAAAAAACCAAAACATTGCTTTCAGTTGGTTTCAATTGCTTCGTTTGGAATTTCAACTTTACTATTGAGCCTAAAACCTTGGCTTTGGCTTGACTTGGTCTGAAATTTACGAGAAATTGAGCTTATCTGATTTTGCCTGGAAATCGGTTCTAGAAACAACCTGGGGTTCATCAAAAGCCTCAATTTGTTCAACTATATACCTTTTTACGTAAACCTAAACCCTTATTGGGCCTGTAATAGTGTGTTCTGTGGAATTCTCTTTACATGATCTCGCTAAAACTAGAAAGTTTCATTTTGCTTACATAGATAAACAAGTAGAGCTGGTTTTTATTCAAACCAGCTCTACTTGAGTCCAAGTTAGGCTGAGTCCAAGTTAGGGTTACATCATACTCATGGGCTGACTTTGACCATGGCCTGGAGCCTGAAAGCTTTGACCGTACTCATGATAATGAATTTTGCTTGCTTTTAATTGCTTCGTTTGGAATTTCAACTTTACTATTGAGCCTAAAACCTTGGCTTTGGCTTGACTTGTTCTGAAATTGGCGAGAAATTGAGAAAAGTAATTAGCTTAGCTTGATTTTGCCTGGAAATCGGTTCTAGAAACAACCTGGGGTTCATCAGAGCCTCAATTTGTTCAACTATATACCTTCTTAAGTAAACTCGTGTTTTTTTAATCGTTAGCGTGTTTCTTTTCTTTATTTTCCAACAGTTTACAATTATCCAAGGTTAAAGTTAAAAGCGAAAAGCCAAAAGCCAAAAGCCAAAATCGAAAAGCCAAAAGCCAAAAGCCAAAAGTCAGCCTTAAACCTTTGGTCTTTATTCTGCCAAATGTTTTCTACAATCTCAAAAACTTTTAGCTTTTTTGAGTTAAACATTTGTTCAATGTTTTTGAAGAATTTTGCTACAAATCAATTTAAAATAGCTTCTTAAAATTTCACCTGCAAAGAAATTCTATCAAATGTTTTGTGATCCCTTTTAGATTTTTCTCTTAAATTGAATTTTTTTTAAACAAACAGTTTATTCATGATGTTTTTGCAATTAAAATTGAATTTAAAAAAAGAAATTGACGAGAAAATAAACGTGGGAACGATCGTTAGTTAAATCTCAAGAGACAAGTTTTAGAAAGACAATTGTCGAAAATAACTTTTAAAATACTATTAGGTTGGCAACTTAATAATGACGCGTTTATGTAACAAATCATTTATTTTAAAAAGACACAAAAGAAGAGCCTTCAATTCAAAAGGTATTCTCCATTAGTATCTATGACTTCTTCCCATCTTCTGCGCAAATCCCGGATCTCATCCTCGAAGAACTTGGGAGTTTTTGAGGTGAAGTAGTCATTCACTGCTTTTATGATCCGAGCATGATCATCGAACTTTTCTCCCTTCAAAAAGTGCTTCAGCGACCGAAACAAAAAGTAATCTGAAGGAGCCAGATCAGGTGAATAAGACGCGTGGGGCAAAACTTTCCAGCCAAGTTCCACGATTTTCTTATAAGTGATCTTTGCAGTGTGAGATTTTGGGTTCTCGCGTAAAAATCTGACTCTCTCCGGTTTGAGCCCCAATTTCTTCAAAGACTCGTTAACTCTCATTAATTGCTTCGAATAAAGATCAGCATCGACGATTTGGCCAGGTTTAGCACTTCATAATGCACCAATCCCTTGAAGTTCCACCAGCAACAGAGCATTATCTTCTTCCCATGGATATCAGGTTTGGGAGTGGTTTGAGGGATCTGCCCAGCAGATAGCCATTGATTTTTGCGTTTAACGTTCTCGTAGTTGATCCACGTTTCGTCAGAAGTGAAAAAGTCGTTCGATTTACATTTTTGTAGCAAAATTGAGGCGACATTGACACGGGCCATTTTGTTGCTTTGGGTCAATTCGTGAGGAACTCATTTTCCAACACGATTCTTTTTCCCAAGTGTGTAAATAGTTTTCGATTGTCGTATGGGATACTTAAAATATTCCTGCCAACTCACGAACGGTGAGTGTTGGGCAATCTTCAATTAAGGCGAGCAAGTCATCGTCGACCACTTCTGGAGGATGTCCTTGGTGTGGCTCGTCTACGAGGCTTCCATCGCCGCCTTGGAATCTTTGAAACCATCGTTGACATTGCCGAATGTGTATACTTTCCTCTCCAAAACAGTGATGATCGTGCGATAAGATTCAGCTGGAGATTTTCCTTGTTTAAAATCGTAGAACAATACAGCTCGAATACGGAATTTTTTGTCCTCCATTTTTTGCCAAAAAGCGAATGGTGAAATTTGTAGCACTAAATGCTATTTATGCAGACATCTTTTACTTTGTATATATGCAAAAAGAGGGAAGAAACGGTGCTTGAAATTACAAAAAACATGTTAAGTAGTGACGCGTCATTATTAAGTTGCCAACCTAATATATGGTTATAAATTAAAGCTAAGTGGTTAGTTAGAAGGAGTATTTCCTTGTGCAAGCCTCACAAAAGGTTGTCAAAGCTTTGAGGTCAATTGGTGGAAAATGTTTTGGTCCAATAGCTGCTCTATTGGCTATCATATTGGCTATCGTATTGTCTATCGTATTGGCTATCATATTAGCCATCATATTAGCTATCATATTGGCTATCGTATTGTCTATCGTATTGGCTATTGTATTAACTATCATATTGGCTATCGTATTGGCCATCGTATTGGCTATCTTATTGTCTATGTTATTGTTTTGCAAGCCAGATCAAAATCAACTCACGCTGCAAGTAGAATTGCAAGCGGGCAATAGAAGAAGATCAAAATCAGATCAAAATCAACACACGCTGCAAGTAGAATTGCAAGCAATATATGAAATGAGGCCAGTCGATATTGCTGGAAATGGGATCTTTAGAACTCTAGAATCTTTTGAATAAACTTGAACCCATCAAAAATATAATGCCCCCAGGCAGGATCGAACTACCGACCTTTGGTTTACAAGACCAACGCTCTACCACTGAGCTATAAGGGCCGTTGAAAAGTGATGAGAAATTTTGGTTTTTGAATATTTGAACAGCTCATTGAGTCATTTTTGTTGAACAAATATCTCATTCATGGATTTGTTAGCCATTGTTCTTTCCCTGAATCATCGCCCGTTTAGCTCAGTGGCAAAGCGTCTGTCTCGTAGAAAAATTGAGTAAACAGAGGGTCATCTGGTCAATCCTTAGAGTGAGCAATTCGTTTTTGATAGAGGGGAATAGTGCCATTCATAAGAATGTCAATTCCTTCTTTTGTCAATCATTTGCCAAGATTTTGGAACGATATGACTAGGAACTTGAACCCATCAATGCTCTCAAAAGAGATAGAACTACCGACCTTTGGTGTCCAAAACTAACGCTCTACCACTGGCTCAGGCACCTCCAAGAGCATAAAGGCTCTTGGAGGGCGGTGGGAACTTTCGGTTTTATGAACAGCTTGAGTTTCCTTTTGATGAACAAATTGAAAAGTAGCGAGAAATTTTTAAAATTTGAGAGAAATTGTACCATTCAAAAGAATTATATCAATTCTTCAATCTCATCGTCTTATTGGTTCAGTGGCAGAGCGTCTATCTAGTGCACTTTAATATTTAACAAACAGAAGCTCGCTGGTTCGGTTCCAGCATGAGACATCTACTTTTTTGCGTGACAAGCGTAAACCTGCTAACTGTTCGTATCGTTTTTCTAGAACGTAAAAAAAAATTGGAGCAAACAGAATTGTGTTGAGGCAAAGTTATGAATCACTACTTAAGGAGTGCTTAAAGGTTTAAGATTTGTGAAAACATCCAAGGTTAAGACACAAACAACAAAAGAAACTTTTACAGGGGCGGCATCTACACTATAAGATTGTATAGTGTTGCACATCGATTACACCCTCATGTAAATTTTTTAATTAAGCGCAAGATGTTGCGCTTAATTACGATGCTGAAAAACAGTTGAATCCTAGTTTTCGGTCTCTAAAAATCGTCTTTTTCCGCCTTTGTCTGCATTAATACGTTTTTCGAGTTACCGTATTTACTCTATTAGTGGGGTCCTCTCTAATAGTGGGGTCGTCTGGAGGGGGGTTGAAAAAAAGCAGTGGAATCGATTAGTGAATTAGTTCTTTTACTGTTTGTTAATGTTTTGTTACGGTTAAAGCTAAATAAAATATGAAGCCAAACTTGTTTTGTCAAGAATTTCGGAGAAAAATTGATATCTTTTCAATTTAAAACTTTGGTTTTATGTTCTTTTAAATTTCTCTAATAGTGGGGTCCTCTCTAATAGTGGGGTCGTCTGGAAGGGGATTGAAAAAATAGTGGGGGACCCCACTAATAGAGTGAATACGGTAATTACTATAAAAGTAGTGCTTTTTGAGCTTCACTATTGCAAATGCGAGCTTATCTTGGCTAACAAAAATGGACAGATTTAGAAAAATTTCATTTTTTCATGTTTAAAGTCTTCTATGAAACGAATGAAGTTTGAAATTTTTCAGTGAATCTATTAGGTGTGTGAAAAAGTAATCCACGTTTTTAACGTTTAAATATAATAGACCATAAGTTTCGTTAAATAAAATTCATGGCATTCAAGTGTTTCCTTACGGTTGATCCATCACAATTTAATGTAAGACCTATTTCTGAAGAGGTTGAACGAGGGTTTTCGAGAAGACAGCGTCTTATTTGGTCATCCGAACAGGTCTCAGGGCGACCGCCACGTGGTTCATCTTCCAGGCTTTCATTACCACCTTTGAATCGTCGGAACCAAAACCTAGCGGTATCATCAATAACGGCGTCTTCGCCAAACGCATGCCGAATTCGACGTGCAGCAGCTTTCAACCCATTTTTGAACTCATAAAGCAAATTTGACCGAATAACGATACTTGTGTATACCATTTTCAAACTAAAATGAAAGTAGTTTATTGTCGTCCTTTTAACAAAATGAATATATCATTCGAAAGAGGGAAAAATAAGCTTTTAAACGATATATATATCGTTCACAAAAAATTAAAAATTGTTTAGATATATTTATTTAAACAAAATAGAAATAAAAAACGTGGATTACTTTTTCACACACCTAATACAGTGCGTTTCAAATTCTTAAACGCACCCTCTAAAATAGCGGATTTTGCATTTTGACCACCGCTACAACTATTAATCTTTTTCTATGAGAAAGATCATGTCTTAAAACCTAAATAACACGAAAAAGTAAAAATTTTCAAAATAGAAACTTTTTTCTAAATCAACCGTTTCAAATTCTTAAACGCACTATGAAAATATTTTTATTTATCGACACAAATTAAAAATCAAAACTAATAATCTGTACACGCACCAGAACGATTAATTACTTGACAAATGCGGTCTGGCATTGAATTGATGAGGTTTTGAAGAGCAGAGACGTCGAGATCGCTCCAGGCTGAAAAAATTGCTGCTTTAAGTGTAGAAACGTCTTGAAACTGACGATGATTCTTGTAGACAGCTCGGACAAGTAGTCCCCATAAATTTTCTATCGGATTGAGGTCAGGAGACTGAGCGGGCCAGTCCAAAGTCGCAATGTTGTTGCTGTTCAGCCAGTCTAGGGTGTCTCCGGCTCGATGAATTGACGCGTTGTCGTATTGAAACAAGTCCAGAACGGTTGGATTTAGGAGCAAAAGCGGCAACAAGTAATTGCTCAAGATATCTATCTAGTCATCCGATTCGAAACCATCTTCAGAGCGACCGTTCCATCAGCACAAAAGGCGGCCCAAACCATCACAGAACCACCGCCAAAGTTTCGAGTTCCAAACACTATCGGATCACGTCGAAGATCCCTCCAATAGTAGTCAACGCCATTGGGACCATCCCAATTCCATTTCTTCTCATCAGAAAAGATCACCTAAACGCAAAAAAAATAATAAAACATAAGCGGCTTTCTAACCATAGACCAATCCTGATTCATATGAGCCTTGGAGAACTCCAATCGGGCTTTCTTGTGCAAAAGCTTCACGACCGGTTGCATGTTCAATAATTGTCGATCGATATGTGGATTTTCCGTGACGACTCGCCAAATTGTCGACTTCGAAACGTCGCTTTTCAGTTCCGTTTTCACTTCATTGGACGTTTTTCTGTGGATTTTGTTCACAATATGGCGTCTGGCTCGCGGTGTAAGCTTTGGTTTTGGTCCTGGCTTCTTCTTTGGTGCAGAAACGAACTCAGACTTTCTATAATTTCGCACGGCAGAGTCGGATCGGCCCAAATTTTTTGCGATTTTCCTTATTGAGTCGCCAACCCTCAAACGAGCATCAATCTGGCCTTTATCATAATCCGTGAGCAGCTTTCCGTGTGCCATTTACCTGCAAATTAACAAAAATTATAAATTTAATAAAAAAGTATGCACAACAATACGAAAAATTTCAAATAACAACAGCAAAGGCGGGTGCGTTTAGGAATTTGAAACGGTTGATTTAGCAAAAAGTTTCTATTTTGAAAATTTTTGTTTTTTACAGTATGCTTATTTTTTGTGTTATTTAGGTTTTAAGACATGCTCTTTCTAATAGAAAAAGATTAATAGTTGTAGCGATGGTCAAAATGCAAAATTCGCTATTTTAGAGGGTGCGTTTAAGAATTTGAAACGCACTGTAGTAAAAAAATGTCCATAGATTTTAAATATCTAAACGAAAAAACTGTCAACTCTTTTTGGTTTTTGGGAAAATCATTCTTTTGTAAAGCGTAACATTGCCGCACCCTATATTGTGGAGTCTTTTTCTTTGCCAAATATTCCCCATTGCAAATTCTTCAATTTTCCTTGTTCTTCTTCAAGTTCATTTCCACTTTTTCAAGAATATCCTTCGACTTTTGCTTCCAGCTTTTAATTGATCAATAGCAAACACCAAATTGTTGTATTGTTCATTTTTCCCTTGAAAATCCTTTTTTCAAATCGGATAGGTCGGCCTTGAGAGCGATTAGATCACTTTTCACTTGATCGCTTTCATTTCACGGCTTTCTAAAAGACGTTTTGAATTAAACATCTTTTTTTGATTGATTTGTACCTTTTACGCTTGCCACGCACAAAAATTAGATGTCTCATGCTGGAATCGAACCAGCGACCTTCTGTTCGCTAGACATTGAAGTGTACTAGACAGACGCTCTGCCACTGAGCCAATGAGACGATGAGATCCAAGAATTGATATTATTCTCATGAATGGCACAATTTCCCTCAAATTTTCAAAAAGGATTGCCCACTATCAGGATTGAACTGATGACCTTCTGTTTACGAGACAGACGCTCTGCCACTGAGCTAAACGGGCGATGAAGATCAAGCGAAAAAAATGGCTAATGAATAGATGAATGAGATATTTGTTCATCAAAGCCTGAAAAGGGAACTCATTAAGCTGTTCAAATGTTCAAAAGGGAAATTTTTTTCGGCCTTCGAACAGCCCTTATAGCTCAGTGGTAGAGCGTTGGTCTTGTAAACCAAAGGTCGGTAGTTCGATCCTGCCTCGGGGCATAGATTTTTTAGCGGTTGAACATTACAGCGATTTTACTTTACTGCATCTTTTCTTTACGATTTTTCTTTACAATTCTTTACTAAAGCGATTCGGGATATTATTAAAGAGGACAAGGATGTGCTAAAACAAAGCTTTAGCAAAATGAAGGAATGTAGCCTCTAAAAATATAAAAAATGTCTACTTTTCCTACTGATCGATTTCGTTGCTCGGCTTTTACGCAATTTTTTTCTCTTTTTCTATAAGTTTTATCCAAAGCTTCTCTCAAAGTATTTTGATTGCATGAATACGAATTTTCGGGGTTATATTGTTTATCATTTCCACAAATATCCCAAGTCGAACACTCGTCTTAACCTTGTTCACAAGAACAATCTTAAAAGTTCTATAAATTTCAATAATATTTTTATAAATAGTACTAACAAGTTGTTCCGATACATTTGGAGACTTATATTTTCGAACTCAACCGATTGATTACAAGTCAAAAAAGAGACAATGCTTTCAACTAATCTTTTCTGCTTCTTGATCAAACTAACCGTTCGAAACGCTTGCAGAATCACTGCTAACTGTTTTATATCGACCGATATAAGACTTCGAACTCGACCGATTAATTTTCGGCTGACACTGTCAAAGCAAAGCCAAAGCAAAGAAAAAAAAGACTACTTTATAAGATTACGGTAGTTTTTAGAAAGGAAATGGAAACATTACTTTGATGATCATTGGAAACTCGTTTGCTGGCCAACGCGCATCGATAATTCTTGTATTAAGATGGTGAATTGTAAACTGCCGGACTTTAAACTAAAATTTATTGAACATAAAACCATACATTCATTCCAAATAATTTCCATTATTATTGACGACTTCTGCCCATTTTACAGACAATTTGCGGATTCCTCTTTCGTAGTAGGATTTTGGTTTGTGTGTGAGACAAGTGTGAGACTCAAAAATGGAGGACTGGAGATGTCAGCTGTCAGCCCAGTTTGAGCACTTTCTTCAAAAGGAACCCATTTTGGTGTCAATAGAAAAGTTGTAGAGAATCAAAAATTAGGCTTATAGCCAAATTTCTAAAAGATGCACTTAGTAGTTTCGCTTAAAGTGCAAGTTTTGTGAAAATTCGTAAATTTGGCATTTCTTGAAAACCAGTTTTTGAATCGTTCTGAAAATTTGGATATAAGCTTCATTTTTGATTCTCTACAACTTTTCCATTGACAACAAAATGGGTTTCTTTTGAAGAAAGTGTTCAAACTGTTAGATATGACAATAGCCCGCAGTTTTCAATTCACCAACCCAATAGTTTTTCAAAGTTAAACAGCTAAAATACCCGATTTAAAGGTAATCGAAGAAAGCTTTCCAAAAGACATTCGATCTTCAATGGATTTATTAAAAAAACTTTAATCTTAAAAGCATTTTTCCAAAAATTCTAGTTGATTGAAGATCTTAATTATGACCGAAAAGACGACTGAACAAAAAACGAATGGGAATTTGAAAAAAGAAACGGAGAAGAAGGGGTTTTCGGGTGGAAATTCGATTGCTTTAAGAAAAAAGGAAAAGAAAAACATATTTTTGTGTTGTTTCCCTTGAAAATTTGATTAAGAAGATGCAGAAATGCTCAATAATTTTATCTGAAATGATCGTCAGTATCTATTTCTTTTCTAATCCATTCGATTTATTGCAAATCTTTTTCCTCTCAGCTTTTGTACTATTTTAAGCTTCTTTATAGACTATTTAATCGATTGCAAAAGCTAATTTACGATTAGATTATGCTATGAGATTAAGTTTTAAACCTAATTCCTCGCAAAGACTTCATCGTTAATTAAAGCTTTGACTTGTTCTGGTTCATTGCCAGTTTTTCGACTTCGATTTATCTGCAATGATTTCTAATCAATTTAGATGATTCTCTTCATTCTATTATTGTTATTTTTATCCAATCTACCTTCATTCGGTAAGATTTTTTTCAAAAAGGCCTAATTTTTCTTAAAAACTAAAAATTCCTAAATCTTTAGCAGTCAAAATTCAGCAAAAGAGCTACAAAGTGAACGTCGATTTGTTGTTGGTAAGAAATCTTTTGTTTTTTAATATAAATAAACCTAGTATCCTCCATTCGGAATAATCTCAAATGATTGCAAGTCAAATCCGAACAAGACAAGTTGTTCAGGGAATGGGAAATATGAGGGATTTGCTGTGGATCTATTTAAGGTTTGTTGGAGACAAGTTGAAAGAATTGTTGTTGGGATTGTTGTTGGGATTGTTGTTGGGATTGTTGTCGGGATTGTTGTTGGGATTGTTGTTAGAATTGTTGAAGGAATTGTTGTTGGAATTGTTGTTGTTGGAATTGTTGCTGTTGGAATTCTTGTTGTTGGAATTCTTGTTGGGATTGTTGAAGGAATTCTTGTTGGAATTGTTAACGATTTTAGATGTTTTCTGAGAGAATTCCCGGCTTCGAGTATACGATAAAGGAGAGCGCTCGCGCTGGGACGAGATTACCGTTAGGAAGCTGGGATGGATCGCTGGGGAAACTCTTGAATAAAGAGACCGATTTAGTGATTGGACCGATTGCCATCACTATGGTTAGTTCATTCTCAGGAGTACAAGGAAGTTCACCATTTCTAGCATACTCAACAACTTACGAAATTCAAAGGTTCCAAGACTAAGCAAAAGTTGAAAGGTAGAGTTTGAAGTTAGCCCAGAGAGTTAGCCCAGTTTGAAGTTAGCCCAAAAAACGCATCTATTCACAGGAATAAAGTGGTACAAGCACAACTTCTAGCACTCAACTCCTAAGCTCTAAATGTACGAAAGACAAAACCCCATATCTATGGGAAAAAGAACCAATAGCTGGTGGGATTGAACCCTTGACCTTCCGACTAACGAGGGAATGATACTAGATCACCCTGACCTTTCCAAAATCCAAGAATTCAAAGGGAGTGCTTGAGGTTAGCCCAGAGACTTTAATGAACTCTTTCGTAGGTAATTGAACATGCTGAATACAAATTTAAAGCTGGTTTTGAAGTAAATACTATAGTAAATACGTTTTTGAATTCATAAGTCGATTTGATTTAAAAAGTCCACTTCAAACTGAACTGAAATTTTTAGCTTTTTCAGTTAAAACCGTAGAATTGTAAAACACCGAAAAGAGAACTTTGCAAAAGATTCTAATGATTTAAAATTTGCCAATATGCCAATAGTTTTTAACCTTCAAAAAACCTTTAGGAACGCGAGCGAGTCTTTCAATTCACTCAACCATTTCTCACCTCTGGCGTTTCGGTGATGATTAAAAAGCCGGAAAAAGCAAAAGTCAATGTAGAGTCAATGTAGAGCAAATCATCAAATCTAGCTGATTTTTAGAGATTTCCTCCATCATCTTTCTTGATGCCATTCTCTAAAACAACTTGGCTTTTCATTTGTTTCGCTTACTTGGCTGTGAGTCTTTCAATTTATTTCAATTCAATTTAAAAGTTCAAGCTTTAGATAGGAATTTTCTATTCGATTCTCAAGGCATTTCCCAGAAATTTGAATATTCATGGTCGAAAGAAGAAGTTGTTGAAGCTTTCAATATGTAGAATAAGCTTTTTCAGAAGTGCTGGTGAACAATTGATTACACTGGCTTTCTTTGTCTTTACTCTTTTCGTTTTTGGCGTTTACACGGCGAATTTAGCAGTGATTCTGCAAGCGTTTCAAACGGTTAGTTTCATCAAAAAATCAGAAAAGATTTGTTTGAAAGCATTGTCGCTCTTTTGACTTGTAAACTTTTTTCAAGCTTGGACAAGTGCTCTAAAGCATACCCAACTAACTAAGCCTCTTAGATTTTAAGGGTTTTATCTAGATATTCACGTTTCTTAGCTTCAAGTTAGTTGGCTGATTTTTAGAAACTATAATAGAAAATACTGTAACATCTATTAGTTGGTTAAAGATAAAATACCTTTTAAATTTAGCTATCCTTTCCAATTTGATACTATTTCTCTTGTAGGTCGAAGTCGCGGACTTCCCATTTCAAAGCCTTACGGAGCTTGTCCGCTCAATCCCAAGAATCAAAGTTGGTGTCGTGAAAGGTAACGGTTTCAAAAGGAAAATAGCATTGACAACGCTCTAGACGGTACAACAGCCAATCTATTCAAGAATCAAAACACGGAGTTGACGAGAGAGCTTTGGAGACATATGATTGAAGAGGTTTGGAAAGAAACGGCAAAATCTTGGTGTCTCATGCTGGAATCGAACCAGCGACCTTCTGTTCGCTAGACGTTGAAGAGAACTAGACAGACGCTCTGCCACTGAGCCAATGAGACGATGAGATCCAAGAATTGATATAATTCTTATGAATGACACAATTTCCCCTCAAATTTCAAAAATGAATTGCCCACTATCAGGATTGAACTGATGACCTTCTGTTTGCTCATTCTTTTACGAGACAGACGCTCTGCCACTGAGCTAAATCGATGAATGAAATATTTGTTCAACGGAAATGAAATAAGCTGTTCAAATATTCAAAAACAGTAATTTCTGATGCGTTTCGACAGCCCTTATAGCTCAGTGGTAGAGCGTTGGTCTTGTAAACCAAAGGTCGGTAGTTCGATCCTGCCTGGGGGCAAATTCTTTTGATGGATTCAATGAATCAAGTAATAGAAATTTGATGTTTTGATTTGATACTTTGATTCAAATTTGATGGATTCAAGTGTTCAGGACACTTTCGTCACCTCGTATGCAGAGGGAATCGATCGCGTTCGAAAAAGTAAAGGTAAGAGACAGTGTTTTGGATAATAAACAAGTATAAGATTAGGTTTTCGGGTGACTTGTGACAAAAAAACAAATTTAGTTAAAAGCCCAAAAAAGAAGTATTCCTTTCTTCTTTTCTTATAGCTCAGTGGTAGAGCGTTGGTCTTGTTTCTTCTGCCAATTGCATCCATTTGTCCACATGCATCCACTCAATTATGTTATAATGACAGCCTAAGAGCACTAAATATTAAACAGTTTGGGTTGGGTCTACTTTGATCTATCGTTTTTAATCACTCATCAACAATACCCAGATTTAGTTTCACCGTCTTTGAGGCTTTTTTTAGCATGACAGCGGCAAAAGAACTTATAAACACTATGAATCATAAAAAAATTCTTTTAAGAGACTTTACATAAATATTTGCGGGATTAAATTCAATTTAGCTGCTCAAAATATAGGCCTACGTCTAATCTTTCAATTTCAGAGTCACTTGTTGAAAATTTTTTGGTTCCTTTAGCCTTTCGACAAGTTTTTAATATAAATACTTTATTCAGAAAGAAATAAAGTGCGAAAACGACATGAAAAATGTACCAAATAAAAGATCACAAAGTCACTTAAAATGCAACGAAATAGCCCTTTTAAAATCAGACACGGTGGAGATCAAACGCAATTTGTCGGGAAGGGCATTCCAAACTTTAGTCACACGATTTACGAAAAAAGCTCTAGCGGATTTAGAGAAAGCAGATTCGGGATGCAAGATAAAAGAGCCACGCCTAGTCGCCAAAAGCCTTGAGTTTAGTCGAAAAAGATTTTTAAAAAGAGGGTTTTGATGTTTTCCCTTTACAATTTTAAAGCACTCAACCAAATCTATGATAAGACGGCGTTGTTCTAAGGTTTCAAGTGAGAAAAGTTTCAATCTATGTTTATACCTGACGGATGAGTAGTTAGCAAAATCAATTTTGAATAGTGCTATTCGGGTAAAGTTTTTCTGAACCTTTTCAATTTTGTCGATTAGGGATTTAGAAATAGGTGACCAAATTAAAGAAGCATACTCGAGGATCGGGCGAACGTAGATAATAAAGCATTTCCTATATATATCAATATCTGGTATGCAAATAGATCTAAGAATTTTGCCCGCACAAAAGGACGCCTTCTTACATATTTTTTCTATGTGTGTAGAGAAATTTAGAGGAGGTGATATGTAGACTCCTAAATCGCGAAGAGATTCATTGTTAGCTATGGACTTTATTGCGGCATTACCAATTTTAAGGGGGACTTTTATTTTACCTGTACTAAAATGAATAGATTTTGAGTGAGAAAGTTTTAAACCCCAAATATTGGACCAAATTTCAACTGTGCTCAGATCTTTTTGGATTTTATGAAAGGAGCTACCCAGATTTTTATTTATATCATTTAATGGAGTCTCAAAAATTAGCTTAGCATCGTCGGCATAGAGCCATATCTTAGAGAAAGGTGAGGCTAGATTTAGATTAGGTAAATCGTTGATGTAAATCGTAAAAAGTAGAGGTCCTAAAATGCTTCCTTGGGGCACACCGCTAGTACAGGCATAGGAATCAGACATGCAATTATTTACCGAGACTTTAAAAGAGCGATTTGTGAGCCAGGAGGTGATACATTTTATAACATTCGGACAAATTTTATACTTCTTAAGCTTATGAATCAGAAAAGAGTGAGGGACAGTATCAAAGGCATAGTCGAGAAAAATAGCATCAAGTTGCATTTTGTGCTTATTCTCTATAGCCCGGACAAAATCTCTATAAGATAAAAGCAATTGGTCAACTGTGGATTTGTTTTTCAAAAAGCCGAATTGTTGTTCGGATAAAAGTTTGTTCATGTTTTAGTTTTTGGGTTAATGGATAGGTAATGGATCTCATTCAAAACCTAAAATAAACTACTTAAAACAGGGAATAATGAAAAATCTGAAAAATTTGAGCATATTGAGGTCAAGACAACGGGAAAGTCGGCTCAATCTCTGACTGCTCCTTCCCCTTGATGAAATCACGAAAAATCGGCTTTTCTTTTGCCACTTTTCAATCATTTTTTTCTAAGTGCTGGTTAATGCTAAAAATATGTGTTATATCTCAAAAAATCACCCATTCTCTCTACTTTAATTTGATTCACAAGCGCGCAGAAACCAACGTACTGGTGCTGAGATATGAGCCTTTGTTTGAGAGTAAACTTAGACTACGTGACGCTCCTATAGGAGGGGCTACTATTACAGCTTTTACGGTATATAAAGTGTATTTACTCATTTATGTTAGCTTTACCCCATAAGGAATCGTTTTTGTAATGTAAAAAGTGAGCTGAATTTAAGCTGGAAAATCATAATCAAAATCAAAAATCTCGAAAATTTTAGGGGAAAGTTGGACCCATTTTTTACAATGAATTTCTTGGAGTTAACTTTTAAATAATAAAACAAAGTGTTCTTGAATTGGTGGATTCGTTTTGTAAGAAATTCTAGTCAAACTTTTTCTATAAACTTTCTTGCCAACCTAATTTTTTAAAAATCTGTCTTCGCACTTAGGTGTTCCTATTTGCGCAGATCACAACCTGCTTCCACATTTCTCTATCCCTTGCTATTGTCATCCAGTGTTCCCTATCTTGGTTGTTCCTGATTCGAAGTCTTCGACTTGCTTGTGCTGGTGGTGGTTGCACTCTAGCCATCCTATATCTGACCGTCTCTGCCACTCTTGTGCTCCACCTCGTTGCTGGTCTTCCGATGAGCCTCTTCTGGTCTAGTGGTAGCCACTCTGTGATCCGTATCGTCCATCAGTCGTCTGTTCTTCTGGCTACGTGGCCGGCCCATCTGAGTCTTTCACTCTCGATCACTTCCACTGGATCTCTGAGTTCCGAGAGCGATATCCGTACTTAGGTCTTGGTCGAGCTGCGTCTTCCTATTGTTTCCCGAGGAGGTTCCTTTCAAGGGCTCGATGCCGTCGTTCTCAGGGCTCGTTCAACGGTCTGTGTCGTGGCCCAGGTCTCTGTCCCGTAGCAGAGTGCCGGGAGGACAGTGCTGTCGAAGAGGTGTGCCCGAGTTCTCTGATGATTCTTGAGTATCTTTGTGACTTCTTTGATGCTTCCTAGTGCTGTCCAGGCCGCTCGTCTTCTTCTGGCGATTTCTGGTCTTAAGTCTCCCTCCAGATTGATGCTTCTTCCGAGGTAAGTGTAGGAGGTGACTTCTTCTAGTGGTTGACCTTCCAGCTTGATCTCTCCAGGTGGGCACCATGCATTCCTCATGCTCTGAGTCTTTTTCTTGTTCATCTCGAGGCCAATCTTCTTGCTGACTCGGTCGATCTTCACCTTTGTGCCCGTCTTCCTATTGTGCTAACCTAATAAGTAAAGTTATTGATAAAAATCAAAATGGGACCCGGAAAATAATTTTTGAAAAATGATCTTGAGAATCTGATTGAAAAGTCATACCCGGAAACCTAATAATTCCAGGTAAATATGCCTTCATTCTCGAGGATCTCGCCAATCAATACGAAAGCAATCGTAAGCCTTGTGACACGATGAGACTTGGTTAGTTAGCTTTAAACTTTTCAATATTTTGATTATCAATAACAAATCAATAACATTTCTTTAAAATTTTCTTATTCTAGGTGAGCTGATGAATCGTTTCGGATACGGAGTTGTGCTTCCATTTGGTTCAAACTTAACTACAAGGTTGAATCATGGAAAATTCCCCGAATTTTCCACCATTTTCAAAGTTTCATTTTCAGTTTGAATCTTGCAATCTTGACATTGCAAGAGAATGGAAGCCTTAAAAGACTCGAATCGAAATGGATGGGCGAGGCGAAGAGTGAATGCATATCGCCGAAAGATCTTGAAGTCAAGGTTTTTATGATTTATTTTTAAAAAAAGAATAAAACAAGAAGTATATTTGAGAAATGGTCGAATTAGTATTTTGTTTTATTCAAGTTTCAAGCTAAAAACTTTAGCCAATGTCTCCGAAAGACTATTCGATCGAATTCTCGGGAATTGCCGGGATTTTCTACATTCTGATGGCCGTTTTAACACTTGCACTTGTGAGTTCAAAAGGGGAAATGAAGAGTTTTAAAGGAAAGGAAAGATATGGAAACTTTTGGTGTCTTAGAACTAATAGTAAGATGAAAGTATTGATGTTATTCAAGAATTAGATAGCTTTCCGAATCCCGAATGACTTCTAAATACTAACTATCCGTTTCTTACCTTGCATAAAACCTTAGAACAAACAATTTCCCAAATTTTAACAATGAATGGTCGAAAGTAAAACCATTTTGCCTCGATCTTAAGCTCAGAATCAATTACTTGGCCTCGCTTGGCTTGGCCTCGCTTGGCTTGACCTCCCTTGGCTTGGCCTGGCTTGGCTTAGCTTGGCCTAGCTTGGTTGGGCCTGGCTTGGCCTGATCTGACCCGGAAGTTTGATCCTATTTTCCTAATATCCCTATTTCGTGGCGGGAAAGATACCGAAATACCAAGATATAAGGCTGATCTTTTTAAGTTGAGGCAGTTCTTTTTGAGTTAATGTTGTTGCCCAGCTTGTAGTTTGTACAAGCTGGGCAACAGCTGGGCAACTGTTCGTTACTTGTACACATAGTCTACAAGTAACGAACTACTTCGTACAATATAGATACATTATCCATAAAATTTCATCATTTCTCTTAATATGCCAGTTAAATAGCTAGCTCAATTTTCAGGTTGTTGTGATCGCTGAACACGTTGCTTGCAAAAAGAAAAAGACACCAGAAAACGAAGCATTGACTGCATAAAATAAAGCTTTCAAAACTTGATTTAAGATTGATCTAAGAATTTTTGGCAACAAAGAGCCAAACGATTTACGTGTGTTTTGCGCTTTTCTTTGACTTTTTGCTTTCTCTTACTAGATTGTATCGTTTCGGAGTTCAATTCTCCGTACATTTGCAGATCGGATCGTTTGTTGTGATGCCTATTTGTGAGCTATTTAGCTCATTTCCAAAAGCTGAATAAAAAGTTTTATGGCTAATCGATTAACTTACAACTATTTGTTGCTGTCAGATGATCCACAAAAAGTCGTTGAATTGTCAAATGTTCCAAGTAAGCTTTTTGTTAAAGATTCTTTTCTGTTAAGCTTTATATTTACAACTTTTTTCCAAATTGTTCTACTACAGGGTAACGCACACTTATGAAAACTCGGTTAGACGCCAGAGCCTTGTCTGACTATGACCTAGCTTTGTTAGCAAACAAAAGTACCCAGGCCTGCCAGATGTGCTCTTGGCCTGACTTCTGATCTTCTACAGAGTGACGCACACTTATGGAAACTCGGTTTTTCGACTGTAACTCGATGCCCAATTATTCAATTCCCTTAATTTCATATTTATATTATTTTATATTCCCCTACTTTCATATTTATATGGACTTAAGAGAATTGAAGGATTGGGCGTCGAGTTACAGTCGAAAAACCGAGTTTCCAGAAGTGTGCGTCACTCTATAGAAGATCTGAAGTCAGGCCAAGAGCAGATCTGGCAGGCCCGGGTACTTTTGTTTGCTAGCAAAACTAGGTCATAGTCAGACAAGGCTCTAGCTTCTAAAATAGCCCAAAAAAATGGTTTTAAAACAACTATAACTAAGTAAATCCTTTAGTTGAACTTTATTTAGGTACTTTTATCGTTCATTTGTTACTTACACTATTACTTTAGTATCTTTAGTATAAAACTTTCCAATTTCAGAGATACATTGTAGAATTTAAAGGTTAATTTACCTTTAGTCAAAGTCAAAAACGATTTCCGAAATGATATCGCTGTCTTGAGAGCCATTGCCATCATCTCTGTTTTCGCGTTTCATTTTTGTCCAGATTTCTTTCCACAGGGATTTCTTGGAGTCGATATGTGAGCTTTTTTTTTGTTATATTTTATTTGATTCAATATTTCTTTCAGTTTCTTTGTTATTTCTGGTTATTTGATTATGAGTATTCTGTCTAAATCGGAATCTCCTCCATTAGAGAAGATCACAAATTTCTACCATCGAAGAGTGAAACGAATATTCCCGTTATTCTATTTGATATTGATTTTTATCGGTAAACTCTGTCAAAATTTGATTTTATTGAGCTTTTAGGCGTCTCAATCGTTTTTCTTTATACAGTAGCCTGGAAGCGACGATATTTTCCTATGTTTGGTCCAGCTACTTACATGTTTCTCAATGTTGAAATGGAAAACTTGGACATTGGATACTTTAGTCAGGTTAGTTAATCAAAAAACTATAATAAATCGTGTTAACTGCTTACTAAAGTAGTCAAATGCGATTCTTTTGAATGTGATAGTTCTCATGGACTATTAATCTTGTACTATTAACCGAGAACAAGATTCAGGATTGGGTTATGAGTCAATTCAGGCCTGAATCAGATCTCCAATTGGCAAATTCCTAGATCCTATAATAAAAAGGTTTAAAAAGGGTTTAGCGACTCTTAGCAAAATCCGAAAGCACCATCGTACTCGCCGTATTCGATAGGTGTTTGCATCTCATTTTCTCAAATCTCACGCTCACTTCTGACCATTCCCCTGTAAACTTTTGGGAGCCAGACCTCACCTGACTCAAAAAAAAATTGCCTTTGGAACAACTCTAAATATCCCAGAGTCCAAAATCGTAAAAGTTGCCAGCACCTGTCAATGTCCTACTTCAGAAAATTGAAGGCCTTCCCTTACTACACACTTGGTCTCTCGGGGTCGAGATCCAGTTCTACTTAATGGCCCCTTGTTTATTTTACATTTCAAGGATCAAAGTCAAAGGTGAAAACTCTTATTACTTTTATATTATTGGGTTGGTGAATTGAAAACTGCGGGCTATTGTCATATGTGACAGTTTGAGCACTTTCTTCAAAAGAAACCCATTTTGGTGTCAATGGAAAAGTTATAGAGAATCAAAAATGAAGCTTATATCCAAATTTCCAAAAAGATACACTTAGTAGTTTCGCTTAAAATTTGTGTGTTCTGCATGTTCTTTGTGAGCCCGCGTAATCGCTCGTCGTCTGGCGCAGGGCCTTTACATGAACCCCTTCCTCTCTCCCTTGGCCGAAATAATCTGGCCGGTCCGAATCCTCAAATTGGACATTGACTTCTCCTCAAATCAAGGCTAATTTCAATCTATTGGGTTGATGAATTGAAAACTGCGGGCTATTGTCATATGTCACAGTTTGAGCACTTTCTTCAAAAGAAACCCATTTTGGTGTCAATGGAAAAGTTGTAGAGAATCAAAAATGAAGCTTATATCCAAATTTTCAGAACGATTCAAAAGCTGGTTTTCAAGAAATGCCAAATTTACGAATTTTCACAAAACTTGCATTTTAAGCGAAACTACTAAGTGTATCTTTTTGAAAATTTGGCTATAAGGCTAATTTTTGATTCTCTACAACTTTCCTATTGACACCAACATGGGTTTCTTTTGAAGAAAGTGCTCAAACTGGGACATCTCCAGTCCTCCATTTTTGAGTCTCACACTTGTCTCACACACAAACCAAAATCCTACTACGAAAGAGGAATCCGCAAATTGCCTGTAAAATGGGCAGAAGTCGTCAATAATAATGGAAATTATTTGGAATGAATTTATGGTTTTATGTTCAATAAATTTTAGTTCAAAGTCCGGCAGTTTACAATTCACCAACCCAATATATTTCAGATTATCAAATTGGATCAATTCTTCTTTTTCTAATCTCTCTTTTGTCATTTCTTTATCAAGAAACGAGATCAAAAGCCGCTATCTCATTTTATTCTCCATTTTCTCGATTATGGCAATTTCTGGCTGGCATGATGTCTTGTAGATATTCAATAGATGATGGAAATAAAGTGCAAGGTTATTTAAAGTTATTAATTGATATAATCAAATTTAGATCAGAGAATAAAACACGCCAATCAATTCTCTATTCTCTGTTTCATTCTGATTTTCGGAGTCTTTATTCCGTTTGGTAAAAACGTATACTTTCAAGTTTCTATCACCGCTTCTGCAGCGGCTTATATGTTGCTCTCATCCTACAGGTAAGGAAAACGGCAAAATTTGCTGGCAATTTGCTGTCAATTTGCTGACAAATATTGGCAAAACAATCAAGAATTGACATTCTTATGAATGTCAATGTGAATAGTGCATTCCCCTCAAATCAAAAATGAATTGCTCACTATCAGGATTGAACTGATATAATCTTCTGTTTACTGAGTCTTTTACAGACGACGTCTTTTACAAGACAGACGCTCTGCCACTGAGCCAAACGGACGACGATTTGAAAGAAAGAAAAATGGATAATGAATAGATGAATGAGATATTTGTTCATCAAAAGGGGACTCAAGCTGTTCAAAAACCTAAAGTTCTCACCACTTTTCATCAGCCTTTATATCTCAGTGGTAGAGCGTTGGTTTTGTAAACCAAAGGTCGATAGTCCTATCTCTTTTCGGGGCATCGATTTTTGATGGCGTCAAGTTCCTAGTCATATCGTTCCTAGCGACATCTGAAGACCATTTCCAGCAATATCGACTGGTCAAAGCTTCATCTCAATTATATTGCTGAGCTCTCCTATGCTCTTTATCTGGTTCATTACCCTGTGCTACACTTTGGGATAAATCTCGGAAAATACAATGACTCGTCGATAATAAGTTTGCAAGATGATAATGAAATTATGGAATACTTTTAGCACCAATGATTGCTCTTGTGCTGACAATCGTTTTGAGTATTCTAGTCCATCATTTCTTCGAGAAACCACTGCTAAAACAAAATATACAAATAAATTTGATTGTGATAATCTCTTTATTTGCCGCTTGTGCGACTTTGGATCAAGCCTGGAGGTTTCAAGTGATAGAGTTCAAAGGTAAGATATATTATAGACTTTTGGAGAACTTTTTGGATTTCAATTAGAGAACTTTTGAGTAATTTTGGATTTGAATTACCCTAAAGTCTCGAGTCAAATTTGCGAGGAAATTTCGAACGAACGCGGCTGCGATGGAATTTGAAGTCGCCGAACAGATGATTAACCGCTGGAAACAAGCTGAGCCGGCACTGATGAGTTCACCAAAAAATAATCGAGCTTTCCGAGGATTGAGGGCAAAATGGCCGGATGTGGAGAGAGATCTGAAGGCATGGGTTCTGGAGAGGCGATCAAAACAACGAGCTGTAAATGAACTGTAAAAACAAAAAAGTTATGCTGCAGCGGGGTTCGAACCCTCGACACACCGCACCGGAGACAGCCGTCAATTTGCATGCGAAAACCAAACAGAACTTATAATCGCGACTTTAGGGTAAGTAAAAGCGAAAGATTTTATATAGTTCAAGGCGAAGATAAAGCTATTCAATGGAATCTTGCTCACTCGAGATACGCATTTCACCTGAATGATGGAAAATTTGTGGATAGTTTTGAGACTCTCAATCGACCAATGGGACACTTTTTGTATGAGGTACAAGTCAGAAAAAGTTGAGCTTAAAGTTTGTATTTTCCTCAGCGCTTCCCACAACTACCTGGAAAAAAAGACTACTTTAGAGATCAGATTACGGTAGTTTTTAGAAAGGAAATGGAAATATAAGTTTGATGATCATTGGAAACTCGTTTGCTGGCCAACGCGCATCGGTAATTCTTGTATTGGGTTGGTGAATTGAAAACTGCGGGACTTTGAACCAAAAATTTATTGAACATAAAACCATACATTCATTCCAAATAATTTTCATTATTATTGACGACTTCTGCCCATTTTAAAGGCAATTTGCGGATTCCTCTTTCGTAGTAGGATTTTGGTTTTGAGTCGAAAAACCTTCAAAATCCTGCTTCTTCCGAATCGAAGTGTTCTCCCGCAAGCTCATTACTCATAATCCGGAATAAATAGTAATCAAAAGGGGCGAGGTCCGGACTGTATGGGGAATGCGCCAAAAGTTCCCAAACAAGGCTATTTATTTTAGAGCGAGTCAGTTTTGCAACATGAGAGCGCGCGTTGTCGTGGAGGAGAGCGATCTTTGACTTGGAGGGCCTATTCTTGTTTTCTTTATCTGCGAGTCCCGCGAAATAGATTTCAGATTTATCTTTGAAATTTGATCTATTGGGTTGGTGAATTGAACACTGCTGGACTTTGAACTAAAATTTATTCAACATAAAACCATAAATTCATTCTAAATAATATTTTCATTATTATTGACGACTTCTGCCCATTTTACAGGCAATTTGCGGATTCCTCTTTCGTAGTAGGATTTTGGTTTGTGTGTGAGACAAGTGTGAGACTCAAAAATGGAGGACTGGAGATGTCAGCTGCCAGCCCAGTTTGAGCACTTTCTTCAAAAGAAACCCATTTTGGTGTCAATAGAAAAGTTGTAGAGAATCAAAAATTAGGCTTATATCCAAATTTCCAAAAAGATACACTTAGTAGTTTCGCTTAAAGTGCAAGTTTTGTGAAAATTCGTAAATTTGGCATTTCTTGAAAACCAGTTTTTGAATCGTTCTGAAAATTTGGATATAAGCTTCATTTTTGATTCTCTACAACTTTTCCATTGACACCAAAATAGGTTTCTTTTGAAGAAAGTGCTCAAACTGTCAGATATGACAATAGCCCGCAGTTTTCAATTCACCAACCCAATAGTTTTTCAAATTTAAACAGCTAAAATACCCGATTTAAAGGTAATCGAAGAAATCTTTCCAAAAGACATTCGATCTTCAATGGATTTGATTGCTTTTCCCGGTGAAATGATGATATTCAGAGATCTTCATGGTAAGGAAATTGAAAAAAATCAGAAGGATTCAGATTTTAGAAAAATCGAAATATTTCTGGAATATTCTTGAAGAGAGGCGGCCAAATTTCTTGTTTATTTCTGTGAGGTGATTGAGCTTTTTTAAGTTAAAAGATTTGATTTCAGATATATTCAACCGTATGCTGATTATGAAATATTTAAGGAAAATGGTACTGATTCACAGTCAAAGATTTATCTTGAAGCTTTTAAACGAATGAGGTACACTTTTGCAATACTTAAGTAAAATAGCGTCAAATTTTGTATTCGATCAGCATCAACGTTGACTTTGAGTGAAATTGACGGTTTGAAACTTTAAAAGCTTGCTAAGAAGCTAAGAAAGCTAAGAAAATTGGCAGAGTCAAGAATTTCAAACAGTTAGGGTGGCGCATAATTACCTACACAACGTCTAGCGGCTTCACCTTTCCATTTCGTACACAGTTGTCTGAAAAGCACACATAGCCAGTGGGGTGTACGGGGCATCGTGCAAGCATCGAAGTTG